AAAGCCGTTTTTTAAATCAGCATCAAAACTACGTTGAGGGACACATGAAGCCATCTCTGATTTAAAAATATGCGCTTATCTAGTGTTATAATTGAAGAATTAGTCAGCACAGACTACAGAAACATTATAAAAAATAGTATTGTTATCGTTTAAAAAAAATGTGTGTCACTGAAGTATAGTAGCTGCAAAAAACGAGCAAAAAAGTGCCCTCAACTCCAGCTGGAAATCTGTCTACGTGGCGTCACATCCGGTTACAGCTCTGACGCGCGAATCATGAAAGCGGCTAACGCCAACTTTTGCGATTGAAAGGAATAAATATGGAGTTGTCACCGTGAGGTGAAAGCATTAAACTGCGTCCGTGAAATAACCGATGCGATACACGAGGATGCCGAAAGCAGTTTGCCGTTAAGTCTGTAAGTACAATGATAACGACGATGCTATGCTAAGGCGCTACGTCAAATTAGCTTAGCCACGTAAATTCCCCCTTTGAAGTCTTGAGTGAAAGTTCACATGTCGTTGGGCAGACTTTACAAAGCTGACTCATGTCTCGAGTGAGTCACTTATTGTTGTTGATCTTGTATCGTTCGGACAGTGTGTCCGATCTCTTCTGGTAGACCGGCGACATCATGTCTCAGACCAACACTCTCCTGGACGAGGTGGTGCGGTGGAACCAGGAAACCTGCCGCCAGCAGCTCAAGGCTGTCCTGCCCAAACTCACCATATCCTCCCCAGTCCTGCTTTGTCACGGAATTGCACATCAAACTGACATTAAAATGAGGAAATATGAAGGTTTATGGCTTTCTGCGTGTTTTGAAAGTACAGAAACCACCACCTATTTCATTTGTTAACGTGGAATATTTCCTCAGCTATTTGCTGAAAATCTCACCGACGGTATTTATGCGTTTTATGCCTTTTACAGTGACCCGTTTTCATAAAAGATAAAAGAAAACATAAGGAAGGAGGAGGGGAAAAAATAGCCCTTGACTAAGATCCCGACCTAAAACAGGCGAGCATGAATACACAACAGGCAGTATTTGGATGTTGGGGAGGAGCTCAGTTTAACCTGGGTTGTAAGGGGAAGTTACGGAGAGCTTTCGCTATATGAGATCTACAGGCTAACTTTTAAAAAAAGATTCCAGTGTGATGAAAGTCGATTTGATGTCCACTAGTCGGTGATGACATCATTGATATTTCTTCAGTACAGTACTGTAATAATAATTTTTTTAAAATTTGGAGGAGGGAAAGGTTAAAAATAATCTATATACACTGCTCATGGACAAAGTCATTGCTACAGGAAACCATTGTTCAAGCTTACAGATTTGTGTTGATGACATACTGTTTCTCTGCTGTGATTTTCTTTAACTGTTCACACACTTTACATCACAAGTCTGAGGGCTGGGATGATCATATACGTAAGTTCCATTTCGTTATTATTTTTTTTTCTTCAATAATTCTGGTTGATCAATTTTATCATTGTGGTTTTTTTTTTTTACCCCCAACTTCCCTATTAGGTGTACTGAAGATAATAACGGACTTGTTCCTCCCTCACATTGCTCTGTTAGATCTGGAAAATGAATGCTTCTCCAAAATTTTACCAAAGGTGAATGGCACACCTTTACCTGTTGTCACTGTATCATTCTAGTGACCTAATTTTGACCATACTTTTTCATATCTCCAGGCGGTGACCATGTTCGACAGCATAATGAAAGAACTTTCAATCCAAGTTGGAAGCTCGTCCAGTCAAAACACTGAAGTGTGCTCCTCACTGAGGAACATTCTGATGGTGGATAACCTCAAACTTGAATTTTCAGTCTCAGTGATTACATGTTCGCTAAAAAAAAGTAATAATAATCTTTCTGCTTTGGTACTCTACCTTGTTTTCAGTCTCTGATGCAGATCATTGATGCAATGTCCGCATGTGTGCGTCACGTCTGCACGTATGATGAGGTCCCGGACGTTATGTCTATCCGCACCTTACTCTCATGCATCCTGAAGGTTCTGCGAGATACTTTTCAGCACTGTAAGGTGAGTCGCTTAAGTTCTACAATGGCTTTGGATAGTTTGGACGCTGCAAACCAGAAATCCATATTAGTAAATTGCATCCGGACAAAAGGGCTGAATGATTTTGCAAAATAATCAAATTCAAAATTTTTTTTTTCTTCTCTATATTGCTGTTGCGATTTAACCTGTAATGGGAATTTGACATCTAAGAGGGCAAAAAAATATATCAGTAACTGTTCGTACTTTTGAATGCTGACCAGTTATTTTGCGGATAAGCAAAGTTGCCTGCTCATGCACTGGTCTGCACTCTGAGTAGCTGCTCAAAATGCTGATTGCGCGGACCTTCACCACCTCCCAATAAGATAAAATCGAGAGCGCAAGCTGCGGGGGGGGGAGGCTCCCTTGACAGATCTGTGAACAGTGTCTCTCCGTGTTTTTTTCAAATCTCATCATTTTTTTCGAATACTTGTTGTCTTGGCTTCCCTGGACAAGACAAACCCTTTCGGGGACGGCGGTTACTACTGTGGACAGCTTATCATGTTATCAGGTTACAGGGTGCATGAAAGGGTTCATATGTGATTTTTTTAAAAATGTTTTTTTTTCCAAGGTCCTCTTTCCGTGCACTCTGTTTTACAATAAACGATATCAGATTATTGTGCACAAATATTTTGGTTTTACAAGTTAGGCTTACTCTCGAATAAAAGAAAATTAACCACGAATTAAAACGAAAGACAGTTTTGGACTTCAAATCGAGTTGTTAAAGGCCTAAACACATTGACTTGTGGTCTTTTAAGCATTCACAACAACTTTACTAAATTCTCCCACTTCCAACTTTTCATGAAAAAAAGATTTGGAACCATGTGGACTCTTGAGCACAGACCTAAAAACGTGATGATTTGAAGTTAACAGCTCACCATTCAGTAACTTGTTCTTGTATCACGGACTTTCAGTAGTTGTCATGGTAACACAAAGCTGTACTCTTGGATCAACTTGCAGGAAGGGGCGCTAGGGGGCGTGCAGTTTTTCCACTCGTATGAAACCAGTAGTGGGTTTTCTCCGGGTATTCCGGTTTCCTCCCCATTCCAAAAAACATGCATGACTGGCTGATTGAACACCAAATTGTCCCTCGGTGTGAGGGTGAGCGCGAATGGTTGTTCGTCTCTGTGTGCCCTGCGATTGGCTGGCAACTGGTTCAGGGTGTCCCCCGCCTACTGCACGAAGACGGCTGGGATAGGCTCCAGCATCCCCCTCGCGACCTTTGTGAGGATAAAGCGGATCAGAAAATGAATGGATGGATGAAAGCATTACGTCAGTGTGCCGCCTGAAGGGAATGATCCCTGACGAGAAATGACATTTCTTGGCGTATCGTCGACAGGAGAGCGAGGCGGTCTACTGCGGCCATCTCTCCGTGGTGGCTGACCTTCTGCAGAGTCTCTTCAAGGAGGCCTGCGCCCTCCACAAGGCCCTGTTGGAGCTCCTGGACGGACTCTCGCTTGATAGCAGCTCCTCTGAAGAGGTGGCGTCAGACATCGTCGTAGGTTGTACCAGTTGAGGAGATGACTTCCTCCTGTTTCCTCTGCACCATTTTCACCATCGAGCTTCTTTGCATGCTACGAACGCGACGTTGTGTCTTGGTCATGTTCCTCAGTAATTCACAACCTCCTGGACATTTGCTCGGTCATCTCGAACCTGGACATGGCGCTGCATGCCAACACGTGGAAGTTCCTCATCAGGTCAGTGCTACAAACACTCATGATGTTGACTCAAATTTAGAAATACAGATCACGTTTTTCAGACTATAAAGCACACCGGGATTATAAGGAGCAATGTCAACGAACGGGTCTATTTTCATATGTCAAACACTCTGGATTATAAAGTGTATTCTTTCAAACAAAACGGTCAAAATAAGACAAACTTTATTCAACTGCGGGCGGCCCGGTGGTCGACTGGTTAGCGCGCCGGCCTCACAGTGCAGAGTTCGATTCCGGCCTTCCCGTGTGGAGTTTGCATGTTGTCCCCCGTACCTGCGTGGGTTTTCTCCGGGTACTCCGGTTTACTCCCACATTCCAAAAAACATTGTGGAACTTGTTTTGAAATCAGAAGTCAAGAATAACGGCTTGTTCAAATATTGTCGTTATGGATTAGATATGACAATTAGACATTTAGATTCAGACTTTAGCAAGCATCATGGAAGTTGACATGCTTGATTTGCTTTCGCGGGCCACATAAAATGATGTGACGGGCCAGATCTGGCCCCCTGGGCCTTTACTTTGACACCAGTGCTCTAAATTGTCCCGAGATGTGAGCGCGGATGGTCGTTTGTCTCTGTGTGTCCTGCGATTGGCTGGCAACCGCCTACCGCCCGAAGACGACTGGGATGGGCTCCAGCACGCCCTTCCACCTTTGTGACAAGAATCGGATTATAAAATTGATGAATGGATTTATGATCTCATTCACAGTACTGGTAACTCTCAGCATTGTTCAGTTGCATAACACATCCAATTCAAAACAGTCCGCTGACTTTTTCAGCTCACTCCTCTTCCTTACTGTGGCCATCTGGCCTTGTTGCCTCGGAAACTGTTTGTTTGGTCTTCCTTACTTGGTGGCGGGTCATCCTCTTGCTTCCTCCGCTTCCGTACCATTTGATTTATCAACATTGAATTCTCTTCTCGCCAGCTGCTCGACAGCCCGGCTGATAGCCATTGAGTTTGAAATCCGCTTCGTAAGCATGTCTCTTCAACAGGTGCCGTTTACACAACGTCATATAACGTCGAAGCACAAGTACCCCCTCCCGACACGGATGTGAATTGCTCAGTTCATCTTTATTTATATGGTTTTGCACTCAGGATTCTTGGACACGTGAGCTGGAAGTGGTTCTCGTTCTGGTATGATGAAAACGCTCACACCTGCTGCGGGATGAGAACGCATACGTAAATGTGAAATTATAGCAGTGGGAATTTGAATTCAAAATGACAATCTGAAAAGCTGGCGCCCGGTCTTCACCCTTGTGGATTTACTAAATACCAAAACATTTTTGACAGGTTGGAGACTATCCATTTTAAATGTTTTGTTCTAAATATTGTCAATGTAAATACCAAAATATACTTTCGAAGCAAATTTCAATATAAAACGAATCATACAAGAAAATGAAAGTATTTTTGTAAACAATGTAAATACACACTCCAAAACATACATATGAAGTGTACAATAATAAATAAAAATCAAATATTGAAATATTTATTTTTTTGAAATGTCCCGCCCAGCAAATTTGTTATAAATCAGGTTAATTAATTGCTTGCGTTTGTTAAAAAAAAAAAAACAATGCATGGGGAAAAAAAAAAACATAATATTGACGGAACAAAAGATTAGACTTTTTTTTCCCCCAAAAACTCTGTCGAGTTCCTCCCTTTAAAAGCGTCCTTGCCATGCTCAGGCAGAGTCTCAAGTACCAGCTGCTGGTGGAGGAGCATCTGCATCACGGCGACATCAGCGCCAGCCTGTGCGACAACCTGTTGGCCTCTCTCCACAACGCCGCGGATCTGGCGGAGCAGATAAAGCACGCCGCTCTGCAGGTTTGCGGCCGCACGCTTGCCAATCAGCACAACTGTCTCCCACTTATAGAATAATGACCGCCCCATCCTGTGTTCAAGCCCTCGCGTGATCTATTTTGTATTGCATAACATATTTTCAAGCGAAAGGTTCATCCAGTTCAGCCTTGTCTGCTATTTTACCTTTGTGCACTTTTGTCTGTTTTGCTAGGAGGCGACGCAATGCGCAGAACACAAGCTGTTCCTGAAAACTGCAAAGTTGTGCAGATTTTTTGCCAACACTTTAGTTCATTACGTAAAGGTAAAAAAAAAACATAACATATTGTCACATAATCATCTTCAACTTACTTTAAAATAAAGTTCAACATTCACACCCTCCCAGGAATTCAACGCCTTCTTAACGAGGTCTTGCGGACGCTTTCATCAATTGTACCTCCAGATTATCAGGTACGTGTGATCTGCTTTACGCGATGACGCAAGATGTTTTATTTGGCTTGGCGCCTTTGAGCAAGGTGGAAATGTGTCTCGCTATCTTCCAGTAAATTCCCTCCCAGCTTGTGTGCTCCGGTGTTGCCGCCGTCTCTTTCCGAGGAGCTCAACGCGGCGGCCGTCGTTCCCATGGACGCGCTTCTACTTCAGCTCTTACCTCTCCGGCCTTTTGCCGAAGTCGTCTTGCAGGAAGACCCGCGTGAGTTTGTCGAAACACACAAAAATCAATCTGTTGCATTATTGATTCTTTTATGAATGAGCAATAGACATGATGGGTTCCGAAAACCCGCGTGAGTTGCAGAAAAAAAAAATAGTATTGTGGTTTACAAGTCTGAATTAAATTTTTTAAATGTCATTGATTTATTGTCTTTTTTTTTTTTTTTTCTTTTTCATTTTGCGGAAAATGCTTCTGAGCGCTTGGCTTTTCCTATGCAGGGTTAAGTCTGCAGCACGAACTCCCTCAGTGTCTTCTGTTGGTGAACGTGCTGGATCTGTTGGCCTCCCAGCCTGAGGAGGTGCTGCAGCTTTGGCACTCGGGCAGTCAGCATTCAGAGGAAACACCAAGGTCAAGTTGCTCCATGCAATATTTGTGATTTTTTTGTGGGAACAGTGGGAAGAAGCCCACCAGAAAGAGTGAAAGAGACAGAAAAAAAATATATTAAACTTCTAGAAGGACCCATGTTTGCAGGCTTCCCCTCTACCAGGCGGTCTTCTGTAGTTTCCAACGTTGCTATGCTGAGCGGAAGCTGCCGGTGTTGTTGCCGGGGGTGATGACGAAAGGGCAGGCCCAAGGTCGGGTGTCTTTGCACTGTCACGTGTGTGTGCACCTCTGCGCCAGCGTTGCTGTTCTTTCTCCGCTTTACCTCCCTGTTCTGGTGAGTTCTGCACAAAGATGACCCTGCATTGGAAACGGCACAGTGGCTCATAACGAAAAAAAAAAAAAAAGGCCTGTTTCAAATGGCTTGTGTGAAATACGCCCTAAGTTTCACTTTGAGAGTTTCGTGTGATATCCTCACTCCAATCTCATTTTGGCTTCTGCCTAGGGATTTCCTCCTATTCAAGACAAACAACTCTTTGTACTTTCATTTTTTTTTTCCTCTGCTTTCACTTCATTTCCCGATCACATTTTCTCACTCTGTTTACAGAGCAGCCACGTGTTTTTTTTTTTTCTGTTGCAGGAGCGGTGCTTGGTGGAGGCCACGCTGCAGGCCGATACCCACACTGCCCTGCTGGCCACCGATGTGTGGTGCTTCACCGCGCGGTGAGGAAGAATTTGTGGCGTTCTTCTTTTAAGATGTCATACAGTGGTTAGAACATAACATACAGACAAAAAAATACATTCTTTTATGTTCTTCATCTGATTAGCTTGATAGCTTAATGGAATTGCCTACGTTACTTTTACGTACTGTTACATTATTCAGGCCAATTTGCTTGCGAGCGATGTTATTTTTCCTTGTTTTCCGAAAACAGTCAATTATGACTTGAGCGACTCACTTCTTCGTATTTTTTTCTGAAATGCTCCAAGATGCCACAAGATGGCGCCAGAGGCCTGTCTCAATGGCCATGAAGTGATACATCTCAACTGGGAGACAAGCTTTGTATTTTGGGGAGGAGCTAAATTTAGCTTGGCTTGGAAGTAGAAGGTTTCACTCCATGTGCCTGTTGGACATGAGCACTTTCGTTGTTTTATTTTTGTTATTTTTATTATTTAAACCATATTCATTTTTTAGGGTGATGTAAAATTTGTTAGAATTTTGAAATGATATTGGAGTTTTTGGCATACTTCCTGTTGAAACTTTCTATCTATCTATCTATCTATCTATCTATATATATATATA